AAATAGTTGAAGATTTTAAAAAAAGTTCAAATAAATAGCAAAAAACCAGACGAGTCTCTCACTTTGCTATATTTTTCTGTGCGGTTGCTATATTTGGCCGACTAAACCCAAAATAGTTGAAGATTTTAAAAAAAGTTCAGATAAATAGCAAAAAACCAGACGAGTTTCTCACTTTGCTATATTTTTTTGTGCGGTTGCTATATTTGGCCGACTAAACCCAAAATAGTTGAAGATTTTAAAAAAAGTTCAAATAAATAGCAAAAAACCAGACGAGTCTCTCACTTTGCTATATTTTTCTGTGCGGTTGCTATATTTGGCCGACTAACCCCAAAATAGTTGAAGATTTTAAAAAAAGTTCAAATAAATAGCAAAAAACCAGACGAGTCTCTCACTTTGCTATATTTTTCTGTGCGGTTGCTATATTTGGCCGACTAAATCAAAAATAGTTGAAGATTTTAAAAAAAGTTCAGATAAATAGCAAAAAACCAGACGAGTCTCCCACTTTGCTATATTTTTCTGTGCGGTTGCTATATTTGGCCGACTAAACCCAAAATAGTTGAAGATTTTAAAAAAAGTTCAAATAAATAGCAAAAAACCAGACGAGTCTCTCACTTTGCTATATTTTTCTGTGCGGTTGCTATATTTGGCCGACTAACCCCAAAATAGTTGAAGATTTTAAAAAAAGTTCAAATAAATAGCAAAAAACCAGACGAGTCTCTCACTTTGCTATATTTTTCTGTGTGGTTGCTATATTTGGCCGACTAAACCCAAAATAGTTGAAGATTTTAAAAAAAGTTCAGATAAATAGCAAAAAACCAGACGAGGTTCTCACTTTGCTATATTTTTCTGTGGGGTTGCTATATTTGGCCGACTAAACCCAAAATAGTTGAAGATTTTAAAAAAAGTTCAAATAAATAGCAAAAAACCAGACGAGTCTCTCACTTTGCTATATTTTTCTGTGCGGTTGCTATATTTGGCCGACTAAACCCAAAATAGTTGAAGATTTTAAAAAAAGTTCAGATAAATAGCAAAAAACCAGACGAGTTTCTCACTTTGCTATATTTGGCCGACTAAACCCAAAATAGTTGAAGATTTTAAAAAAAGTTCAAATAAATAGCAAAAAACCAGACGAGTCTCTCACTTTGCTATATTTTTCTGTGCGGTTGCTATATTTGGCCGACTAACCCCAAAATAGTTGAAGATTTTAAAAAAAGTTCAGATAAATAGCAAAAAACCAGACGAGTCTCTCACTTTGCTATATTTTTCTGTGCGGTTGCTATATTTGGCCGACTAAACCCAAAATAGTTGAAGATTTTAAAAAAAGTTCAAATAAATAGCAAAAAACCAGACGAGTCTCTCACTTTGCTATATTTTTCTGTGCGGTTGCTATATTTGGCCGACTAAACCCAAAATAGTTGAAGATTTTAAAAAAAGTTCAAATAAATAGCAAAAAACCAGACGAGTCTCTCACTTTGCTATATTTTTCTGTGCGGTTGCTATATTTGGCCGACTAACCTCAAAATAGTTGAAGATTTTAAAAAAAGTTCAAATAAATAGCAAAAAACCAGACGAGTCTCTCACTTTGCTATATTTTTCTGTGCGGTTGCTATATTTGGCCGACTAAACCCAAAATAGTTGAAGATTTTAAAAAAAGTTCAGATAAATAGCAAAAAACCAGACGAGTTTCTCACTTTGCTATATTTTTCAGTGCGGTTGCTATATTTGGCCGACTAAACCCAAAATAGTTGAAGATTTTAAAAAAAGTTCAAATAAATAGCAAAAAACCAGACGAGTCTCTCACTTTGCTATATTTTTCTGTGCGGTTGCTATATTTGGCCGACTAACCCCAAAATAGTTGAAGATTTTAAAAAAAGTTCAAATAAATAGCAAAAAACCAGACGAGTCTCTCACTTTGCTATATTTTTCTGTGCGGTTGCTATATTTGGCCGACTAACCCCAAAATAGTTGAAGATTTTAAAAAAAGTTCAAATAAATAGCAAAAAACCAGACGAGTCTCTCACTTTGCTATATTTTTCTGTGCGGTTGCTATATTTGGCCGACTAAACCCAAAATAGTTAAAGATTTTAAAAAAAGTTCAGATAAATAGCAAAAAACCAGACGAGTCTCCCACTTTGCTATATTTTTCTGTGCGGTTGCTATATTTGGCCGACTAAACCCAAAATAGTTGAAGATTTTAAAAAAAGTTCAAATAAATAGCAAAAAACCAGACGAGTCTCTCACTTTGCTATATTTTTCAGTGCGGTTGCTATATTTGGCCGACTAAACCCAAATTAGTTGAAGATTTTACAAAAAGTTCAAATAAATAGCAAAAAACCAGACGAGTCTCTCACTTTGCTATATATTTCTGTGCGGTTGCTATATTTGGCCGACTAAACCCAAATTAGTTGAAGATTTTAAAAAAAGTTCAAATAAATAGCAAAAAACCAGACGAGTCTCTCACTTTGCTATATTTTTCAGTGCGGTTGCTATATTTGGCCGACTAAACCCAAATTAGTTGAAGATTTTACAAAAAGATCAAATAAATAGCAAAAAACCAGACGAGTCTCTCACTTTGCTATATTTTTCTGTGCGGTTGCTATATTTGGCCGACTAAACCCAAAATAGTTGAAGATTTTACAAAAAGATCAAATAAATAGCAAAAAACCAGACGAGTCTCTCACTTTGCTATATTTTTCAGTGCGGTTGCTATATTTAGCCGACTAAACCCAAAATAGTTGAAGATTTTAAAAAAAGTTCAAATAAATAGCAAAAAACCAGACCTGATAGCTGCATAGAACTGAGCAAATATTACACGAGAAAGAGACGAAGTTTTCTTTGGAGCGGGCCATTTTCAAGTTTATCAACTACAGCTGCATAGAACTGAGCAAATATTACACGAGAAAGAGACGAAGTTTTCTTTTGAGCGGGCCATTTTCAAATTTATCAACTACAGCTGCATATAGAACTGAGCAAATATTACACGAGAAAGAGACGAAGTTTTCTTTTGAGCGGGCCATTTTCAAATTTATCAACTACAGCTGCATAGAACTGAGCAAATATTACACGAGAAAGAGACGAAGTTTTCTTTTGAGCGGGCCATTTTCAAATTTATCAACTACAGCTGCATAGAACTGAGCAAATATTACACGAGAAAGAGACGAAGTTTTCTTTTGAGCGGGCCATTTTCAAATTTATCAACTATAGCTGCATAGAACTGAGCAAATAATACACGAGAAAGAGACGAAGTTTTCTTTTGAGCGGGCCATTTTCAAATTTATCAACTATAGCTGCATAGAACTGAGCAAATATTACACGAGAAAGAGACGAAGTTTTCTTTTGAGCGGGCCATTTTCAAATTTATCAACTACAGCTGCATAGAACTGAGCAAATATTACACGAGAAAGAGACGAAGTTTTCTTTTGAGCGGGCCATTTTCAAATTTATCAACTATAGCTGCATAGAACTGAGCAAATATTACACGAGAAAGAGACGAAGTTTTCTTTGGAGCGGGCCATTTTCAAATTTATCAACTACAGCTGCATAGAACTGAGCAAATATTACACGAGAAAGAGACGAAGTTTTCTTTGGAGCGGGCCATTTTCAAATTTATCAACTTAGGACAGCTTACGACAGGAATAATAATTTACAAAAGTGTGCTTGGTGTTTGACACTAATTTAAGGATTCATTATCCAAGTTCTAATTTGTTCATATATGCCCATTTTAAAACAAAATTAAATGTTTTTGAAAGCGTAATTAGTCTCCAATCTCCATTAATATAGGTTGCGATTAATGCGATCGCTATTTTAAATTTTGTGAAGTTGGTAATTAAAAGTTATCTTGATGTTTTTTTAATATCCTATTAATTCAATTTGTTTTTAAAGCATCTAATATAAGAAAGTTCTCTTTCAAAAGGCGTTGTTTTTATTTAAAAACGACTCTGGTTATTTTTAGTATAAATCTGCGACCATACTTCATGAGTCGTGAGCAAGACAATACACACAAAAACTCTTTATTCAACATTATTTCGGGTAACACTTCAAATGTATATGAAAAGATATGACTTTTTTACAAGATATGTAAAGAAGAAAAATGCCTTGTTCCCAAAAATAGTTTCAAACGACTTTATTAAAAAAATTTTAGTACTTAAAAAGAGTGGTTGATGATTTAAAATTGCGTCAGCATCAACATTAATAGTATAATACAGAAGAGTGTAACAAACACGCCAATAAAAATGCTTGTCTGTGAGAAGAGCTAATGCGCTTTTGCAATTTGACTCACATTAATATTTCAATGTCGACACAGATAAGTTCAAAAATGCCTCGCACAGCAAATAAGCCAACAAATCATCCGGAAACGCAGAAATTATTTCATACAAATAAAAATAAACCAACAATAAAAATCCCATTGCAGTAGATTAATGATTCGCCGGTATATTTTTAATTACGGTCATTAAAATTAGCAAGAATGTTGTTGCTCCCGTGTAATTCCTATGCAAAGTGTCTGCTGCAGAAAATAGCGAGTTGGAAAATAAATTATTTGTACTTATTGTTATTCAATTCAATTCAATTCAATTTATTTTTCTCCAAACAAGTCAATACAATCAATTGTGAAAAAATTGGTTGGGAGAAAAATAGGCACACAGTGCTAGTGAACAACTCACTGAAACTCATAACCGCGTATTTACCAAGAGGCGATAAATACCCGATTACTCGCCGCACTGCAGCCTAAACTACGGGGAAAAAATCAAATTTGTTTAACATGCTCTTTGCACAATTTTGGGAAATTATTTGACGCACACGATTTTAACACAGAAGGGAGGGAGTTGTTAGACCCGCAGCGTCTTAACAGGGAGGACTTTGATACAAACAGGCCGCGCAGACTGTTTTCGTTCGACCTCAAGTAACAACGTTATCAGTGCGAGCGACAAATATTTGATCCAGACGATTAAAAATGAAAAAAACACAAGAACAAATTAATTTTCCAGCAGTACAAAACGAGCAAGGTGTTGCATCGTTTCTATCTTACCCAAGCAGACACCTATTAGGCCCCTGCCTGCAGTTTCTACTAATCCTAGACGCAAACATTCAAATCTGAAACTGCTAAGCGGACAACATAAGTGCTAAACTCGTTAGAGTGCAGATTTTAATGCATATATTATTCGGTCGATGGTATGCAAAGAAATAAGGTGGCGTTTCACGTTCGTCTCTGCTGATGGGGCCCCTCGGCAAATGAGAAAAACCTGAGCGAGACTTCTTTTATTCCACAGACTTCCACCGAGCATCAACGATGAAGGAGCTCAAGTTTGTCACCAACAACATGTACCACCCAATGACAAATCGTACGTAGCTCTTTTTAATTAAAATTGTACCCATATCTTCGTTAGAATGTGCGTCTTCACTCTTGTTTTTGAGATTTGAAAAAAAAGGCTTATTATAGCTTATTGTTCGAAGATTTATCTGATTAATTTTACGATAACTGCGCGCTCAATTTCAGAGTTTAATTAATAATTGTGATTAAACGCCAGACTTTGGTTCTAGAATTATTTAAGCGCGCGTGTGAGAGAGAAATAAAAATAAGAGAGCTGATATTAGAGGTCAAGATTACGTAATGGACTCGTCGACTTTTAGAATGCTTTTTTTTAAACCACCGATCTTAAGTGCTAAAAGCGAAAATTTAAGCCACGCCTCAGGGGTTCTTGTATCTTGAAAGCGACTAAATTCCTGCAATTTCTGCTTAACATGTTCGACTTTTTGTCCTCCAAAAAACCAGCTCAAATTCCCAAGCTTAGAAACTATTAAAAAAAATTTGTTTGCTAAGAAAATAAAAATAATAATTATTTTAAAATTAAATAAACTGCAAAATATAATATTTTAATGTAATAAAAATTTTACAATATTTGATGAATTATTCTTTTTTTATTTGATTATCATAAATTTTATTTTATTTTAATAATTTAAAATTACTAATTAAATTGTACGCTAAAAAGCTTGTTCTATAGCCATCAAATGCAAAATTGTATTTATCATATATATTTTTTTTTAAATATTTATAATAACAAGTTTCAGATTAATTGTATTTTTACTAGCAAAAAGCGACGGCTTCATTGTATGCTATCTTTAGGTTGTCTTGTCACGCTGAAATTCTTCCGTGAAAACATTTGCAATAGCCTGAACCACCTCTTCAGATTATACGGCAGCCAATGTTGTTTGTTTTTCAATCAGTAAATTTTAATTTAGCTTCCTGGACATCCCTGGACAAGCGAACGTGCCGAGCATTACAAATCGATGTAAACAATGTCGAAACTCAGTCAAAAACTGCACGCTTGCCATACTAATGGGACAAAACACCCACAGCCCATAGCAAAGGAGGAACTTCTAGTTGCCTGATTAAAAATGTTTCCACGACCAAAATCTTTTCACGGTCAATGTTAGAAGTCAAATATCACGAATATGCTACCAGTAAAAATTATTTTTTTATTGCAGACTTTATCAATTTTAATTGTTTTTCAATTCTAAAACTGAGATTTTTGATATAAATTTCTATGTTTTTTTTTTAGTTTTTGCGGTTAAAAATAAAATGGTATGTTATTTAAAATTTAAAAAATATTTACAAGTATTTTAATGTTTCAACTATATAATGGACAGAAAAAATTAGAAATTTACATAAAATATTAAGATTCAACAAATCATTTTTTTTTTCATTGAAAATTTACACACATATAAATCATTGTGTGAATATTTTTAGGCAGTTTATATAAAATTAAATTAGCTAGTTTAATTTCTGATTGTAACTTTTTTTTATGATATGGTAGAAAAAAATAAATATAATTAGCAGATGGACTAAAATTTTGAGTTGTTACATAGATTTGAATTTGATATGTTAAAAGCAAAAATAAAGTCCTCTTGCATTTCCTGACGAGAGCGTGAAAACGGAAATAAACAATCTAGTTGTTAAAAAAATAAGCTCGCTTCTGAGCACTTCTGAGGAGAAAAATATTGAAAGAAACCTGCCAGACGCTGAAGTTAAATGCGGAATGAAAATGTCGAAAGGCCAGTTTTTAATTAAAAAAATATTGTACACTTTGCACGTATCGTTATGGTATTGAATTGCAAAATAAAAATCATTATCTGTGTGTGTATAAATAAATTAAATTATCGACAAGAAGCGGCGGCGGCAGCAGCAGCGAGCGCGAGATGAAATGCGAGTCCTTTATATAGAACGGAGGTGGCGCGAGGTGGAGGGGCACTCGGGAGAGATAAAGAAGAAATAACACACACTGCTCGCTCTCGTGTTGGCGATGAGTCGCGAATAGAGAGGAGCCGCACACACAAACACACTTTTTCGTTGTAGTGCAAAATTTTCGGCCAGAACCTAATGTCCGCGGGAGGACGTCGGTGATGAAGGATCGATGTAAGTCCCGCGCTGGATCGTTTCACTCTGCTAAAAGTAGTGTTAGGTGTGTGTGTAGTTTCAAATTGACCGCCTGAATATGCATAGAGTGAGCATAAAAGAATCAATTGGTGAGTTTAAAAATAATAATATAAAAGTTTAATCCTATGAATTCTCTAGATTGCGGAAATAAGCCTTTTAGCTGTGAAGGTTCAAACTTATTTATTATAAGCATAAAAAAATCTTAAGTTGAAAGTATTAAAAAAAAAAAAAATAAAAATAAAAATTTATTAAATTGTGATAATTTAATTTCGCTTCTTTTTCTAAACTATTAAAATTTCATTGAGTCAATAAGAGGAGAACAAAAATTAAAAATTAAAAAAATTAGTAATATTTTTTTTCTTGAAAAAAAAAAGGAAAAAAAATAGTGATCTTAATATTTCAAGCAAAATTCATATCACCTATTTTCAAACATTAAAATTAGCAACTTTTACATAGCTGATAAATCGTGAATAAAAGTGTCAAAAAGTCTATGAAAAACTCGGAATATAATCAATAAATATTATTTTTCATAGGTTCCAAATAGATCTTTAACTGATTTTCAATTGGAAAAGAAGAAAAACAGTTTAAAAGTCCATTTTCAGAATGATCTTGCGGGGAGTTAATAAAAAAAGGATAATTAAATATAATATTCTTAATAATGATTTCTTTTCAATAAATATTATTTGCTTTAAATATTAATAATTGCAATTTTGAATGAACTTTTTGATTCAATAATTCATTTTATCCCAACTAAACGGGACCGAATAGAAGAATGTTAGCTATTTTATAAAGAAAATATTAAATCGCTTTATTTAACTATGACTCTGAAATAATTCCAACTATTAGAAACGGAGGCGCATTTGATTGTTATATTCTTCTGGTTGCTGCCCGCGCTTCTCGCGCCGGCGAAGAATCAACTCAAAAATAGCAAAGTTGTCCTTGAACGGGGAAACGACCCCTGCAGAATTTCGCGGATTTGATTCTTTGACTCGTGAGTTTTGCACAATTTCATCAAGACGTAGAAGAACGAATTTGCCTGACATTCGAAACGTGCCGCTCGAGATTAAACTAATTTGTAATGATAAACCGAGCAGCCTAAATTGGGGTACGCGCGAGATGTTTACGACCGGCGATGCTGTTTATCCGAGTGAGATGTAAATTAGGAAACCGTCGTTTAATTGAGAACCCCCTCGACCCTGAAGCAGGGCAGCTGCCGTTCCCACTTACTCACTTTTTATCCGGTGCGTATATATAATGTGTGTGTGTTATTCTGCTGCATCGTAATGATATGACACACAGCTAGGTTAGCACATCAAGAGATTTAATAATTCGTTCCGAGAAACTCTCGTCAAATAAATTCAGCTCCCAGAGATATAAATAATTAGCTTCTTCCGAGCTTTGTTTCTGCTTCACCCACTGAATGTTAAATAATTTTGAACATCCAAGTAGATGAGCGATCATATCAAATTCATGACGTAAATATAACAGATTAAACTTGCAGTGGGAAAAATTAATTAAAAATGGCTTCACTATAAAGAATGTTTTTTTCTTCCAAATCTTCTTATTTTCATCTTGGTTTATAATTTTCTCATAACTAATTTCATCTAATAAGATCTAATTTTGATGAAGGAACTCAGGCTACCAGTAAGTTTAATATTTAGTATAATCAGAAATGATCGTAAATAATGTTGTAGAATAGAGATTGTTGGTGGCTTTTTCGTTTCTCTAGTTATTTTATACAATAATATTCCAGCTTTATTAGTTTGATTTTTTTATGTATGTTTTGTTTACTTTCAAATATGTACAAAATATAATATTATGGTCTAAAAACGTAGCTAGCAAAAATATTTTATAAAAAATTTGCACAAAATTTGTTTAAATATATGGCTGTGAAATTGGTGGAATGTTTTAATTTAGTTTTTTTATTAGACTTTTGTATTTAAAATTATTTTACATGATTTTTGAACGATTTTTTTGTAATTTAACATAAATAAACAAATATATACAAAAATGAGAAGTCAAAATAATAAAAAAAATCCTGATATTTCTACGTTTTAAAAAATAATTTAAAATCACAATTTTAATGTAATTAATAGTCTGGTTTTTAATGAAATTAATTTTTTTGATGTAGAGACATTATTATTAATTGATTATATTAATAGGAAATAGAAAAAAGGAATCAATTATTAATTGGAAAAAACTGCCATGATAATGTCTAACGTGTAACGTTGCAATAATAACCGTCGACAATTTTGAGTGGGTGTCTTCAAATTTCATGATTCACGCAATTTTTAAGTTATTTTAGAGCGATGGAAAAAAATTGTACATTGTTTGAATTTTACGGGAACAATTTAATTTCAATTTCTAAAAAATAAATTAAACGATGAGAAAAAAATTAGACGATCTAAAAATGAAAAACCAGTTTTTTTCACATGTTTAATTTTAGCTCTTTTTATTTTGCTTTTTGTCTTTAACATAACTTTAAATCAATATTCTATTTCAAAATTTCGGTTTTTTTTCGCTGTGTCACAATAGGCGACTCCTCGACGGACGCGTCACTCGAGGCGGGGCTGACCCTGCTCGAGGAGGGCAACCGAATCGCTGGCACCTGCAGACACAGACGCCGCAGCACGAGCAACACCGATGGACTTTGCGAAGGGTTGCAGGGGCCCTGTCGGCTCATCCGCCTGTGCATTTTGGGCATCGTGGTGCCCGCTTGTCTCATCGCCATTCCGCTCTACGTGCGATACCACATTCTGCACGAGCAACAATATCCTGTCGCTTTCTCAGACGTCCGACTGATCGACGGACGCGTTTCGACGACTTGGTGCCAGGTATTTAAAACATTTATTTTTAAATACTTAAAAAAATTATTTTATAAAAGGTTAAGATTTATACATTTATACAATAATATCACACGATTGAAATAATATTACCATTTACCATTTCATTGGTGTTTGTAATTTTTTGTTAATAAATTCTACTCTTAAACTTTTAATATTTTTAAACTTTCTTATTAATTAATTTTTTTTTTAATTAAAAGTGAAGATAACTTTCATTCAATTGAGAGGACGTTTGAACGGTGAACTCCTTCTCAATCAAAACACTTGAGACAACGCGCTCAAGATAAAACCAATTAAATTATAGTAAAGTGCGAGAACCTCCTCAAGGAGAGTGCGGCGCGAGATATTTATTGAAAGAGTAGGTTTATTAATTTTTTATTGTGCGATAAAAGTTCCAATTCATGCAACAGTTTAGCAAGATAATTAAGGGTTTCGAAAAAGATAAGGATCTACACTGAAGAGGGGCAATTCTGAGATGACAGAGAGAATCGTCCAGATTAAAAAAGAGCGGCCAAGGGGTGCTATAATCAGGACCACACTTTGTTGCCAAGCGAGAGAAAATAATCGACTTTAATCTTTCTTATATAATGGCCAAGTGTGTTGTTAATCTAATAACCCCATAATCTTTTGATACAAACAAGATTAAAGAGTGATGCGAATAAAAGATTGATGATTGAAGTTGAAATTAAAAATCTTTTTATTCAATTAATTTCTAAAACACGTCCAAATTTCCAAATAATTCAAATTGAGTAGAATAAATTATAACAGTTATAATATAATGAAATATAAAAATGAACATTTTTTTTCCAATTCGTGACAATTGCCTTGCTAAACCCCCAGTTGAAGAAACAGAAACCCCAAACAGTCAAGTTGAACTGGGTTATTTTGATCTAGTTAGAAAGAAGTAAAATTTGCTGACTCACTCCGCAGAATCTCTTGGGGTCAGTGGTTAGTCCTCGCATTTCGTAAACAAGCACATATATTTTCGCGTGCAGTCAAACACAAAAGCTTGGCATTGTTGGCCCCGTCTGCGGTTAGCCTACGAAAGTATAAATAATAATCATAAGAAAGGAGTCAAGAAAAAATTAAATTAAATTTTAAATAAAATTTCAGAGACAAACGGTGCAGGGAAATGCCTCGTTCAACGCGTACTTGATGCCAGAAACGCCAAATTACAATTCTCGTCCAGCTAAAGTGAGCATGATCCGCCACATGGTGCTCGAAGACGACATGAAAGAATACTGGGGATTTTATTTGCTGCCTGGGTCCGAGGTCCACATTAAAGTTTGCTCAAGGTTAAAAATTAAATATTTAAAAAACTAAAATTGAAGAAAATTTTTTTTCTTTTTCATTTTAAAATACAATTAAAAGAATAAATAGTTAATAAATCATGAATTATTTTTTAACAGGTGGCCTGGGGCATCCTTAATTGCAATTAAGGGTCACAAACATTTACGAGACTGTGCTTACATTGGAGACAATTCCTCTGAAGAAGAAGACGAATTATTAGATACGGATAGAAATGTTTCCCCCAGAGACTCGACGACGGAAAAACTGGCTCGAAAAGCCGCAACCGACCAAACAACGACTAGCAAAACAGAACCGACCGTCAACAACGGTTGGTCTTAACTTTTCTTTCGCAATTGCTCAATTACACACGTTTTGATTTAATTATAGGCACGGCGCCGCCAAGAGGAGCACCGAACCCTCTAGTCAACGAAGGCAGAATTAATGACGACCCCATTACGTCCGAGGAGGCTCTGGACGAACTGCTCTCCAAAGTGTCCTCGCTAGGTCCGAGTGGTCAGAGGGCGCTGAAAAAACTGGCCCACCAACTGCATTCCAAAGAGAAAAAAGACGTCAAAGGTGATTCCGAGAAGGACCAATTAATGGCGCAGCTCCTGCAGGAACTTCTCAAAGCGAGTGGCAGCAAACTCCAATTGATGACTTTACAAGTTTGTCATATAAAATTATTTGATGAAAAATTTATAATAAATATGCACATTTTAGGAGGAAATTAAATCAATTGACGCTAGAGCTAGAAGAAGTGCCAAACGAGACAATGTGGAGCTGCAGGAGTTGCTCGAAGAAGTTGTGAAAGAACGAAAAATTAATTTTGTTTTGAATCGGAGTAAGCGACTGGCTGATTTAGCTGACGAGCTGCACGGTCGGATGGATCCCTCTGAGGATGCTGCTTTTGAAGAGGTACAAAAAAATTATTAACTAAAGGCAGGGAGAAAATACAAAATCTTTTTAACCTAATTAAAAAAAAAATTATTATCTATTAGTTTTGAAAAGTTAGAAATTGAGGTTTTTAATAACTTTTTAGGAAAATTGCCCATTTTGAATTATAAATTTCAACCAGTTTAATAATAGTAAATTTAAAAGCATTTTGCCGTAAAACAAAAGAAAATCTTGATATAAAAAACCAACTATCTTTTGTGAATATGGCTTTTTGAATCTTAACACACCTATTTTGGCTAAAAAAATCATTGAAATCACTCATCTTCTTTATCCAAGACTAATTTAGAATTTCAAACTTTTTGCCATTGGAGGATAATTTATTTTATTTTTGTAGGGTTTAGAGCCTGACGGGATTGCAGACACAAGAGGGAAGATTCTGGAAAACACCACGAATGACAGGTCGAATGACGAATTCTGGTCATCCTTTTCGAGCAGCGAAGAGACCCTGATGCAGTGTGAAGGTCTCCTCGTCTACATGCCTCTAGACTCGAGCAGCGAGTGCTCCGCGCCAGGCTCGGCGGCCACCATGTCTCACACAAACACCTACAGTTACACGGCCCCGACCAGTGGATACTACTTTTTTGTGTTCAACTCGGAAAACGAGATCCAGGAAAATCTAATCAGTGTCGAGTTCTCCCTGGCGAGGACCACCTACAACACCAGCATGCGAGTGGCCCAGTGCGACAACACGACCACCTGCGCCTTCCCGCTGGACTTTTTCTCCTCGGAGAAAGTTGTGCTTGAAGTGCCAGTGGCCCCTGGAAAGGAAGGCCCTTCGAACTCATCAGCCGACTCGCTGGCCAAGCACTGGAATGAAGAATACCTGATTGTGTCCACCTGCGAGCCAAGAACCTCTTTGTACCTGGTGTTCATGCTACTTGTACCAATCCTCATTTTGACATTTGCCTTTCAGTGATACAAATACTTTTTCAGGGATGTAACTTGTGAAAACCGGATAAAAATATTTCTGTCGGGTGCGCAAAATGCATAGAGAACTATTTTTATTGTTAGATCACATAATTAAATCTAAGGTGGGGCGTGGAGAAATAAAAAGCTCAGAACCTGATCGACATTGAGTTGGCGTTGCCCTCCTCGCACCGATAGCCAAGTCCCGAGTAAAAGGGCACCATGTGATCTTTGCAGTCCAAGTTGATTTTGTAGCAGCCAAGTTCCTCGGCGAGAAGGCTGATTGTTGAAATAATTCTGTACACGGGGAATTTTATATGAATGACTTATGTGCAATGATAATAAAAGTAAATGAAACGTACAATTTGCCCAGTTGTTTTCCTCTGTAGGTGTCGTTCACAACCACGTCCTCCAGTTTTGCTCGCTGAAATTACCAAGAATAAAATTAGTTAAGACGCAGACAGTTATGACCGTTAATGCCGAGTTAACAAATTTAAAATTTTAGGCTAAAGCTTAAAAAAAATTTTGCTTATGACAACGGTGAGCTTATTAGGCTGTTGGGTTGGTCTCTTGCCAAAACGTTTCAATTATGTCACTCGTTATTTAAAAAAAGAAAAAAATAACTAAATAAAACAACTAATTTAATTTCCTTAATAAGGAGCAAATCCGATATTTGTGCTGAATTAAAAATAATTAAATTCATTGATTCTGATTGATTCTACATTTTTTTTTCAAAGTAGAACCATTATTGCAAATTTAGCATGTTTCTTCTTTGAGAATTAAAATGTTGATCTTACAAAATTTACTTGATGCAAATTTTTGATATTTTAGTTTATTGAACCCAATTACCAGTGCGAGGTTGCGAATGAACTTTTGCTCGACGACTAGTGTGGCGGCCCCGATCACTTTTCCCAGCTCAGTGTCTTCGATCACAGTCACATAATAAGTGTTCGCGCAGCGCTTCATTGAAGCAAATCGATCTAAAAAAAAAACAGTTTTACAAACAAAATGATTTAAAATAAAAATTTACCAAGGAATTCTTCCTTGCTAATGTCTCCAACTTTGGTGAGCTGACTTAGTAGTTGTAGAAATCCTAAAAAATAAATAATAATTAGTATATTAGGTTTTTGTTTATTTTAGATTAATTTGAATTCATTTTAACCCAAACTCATACAAATATTATTTTAAAATTTCCAAATGTCATTTCTTGGCGTAAAATTTTTTTGTCATTGACTTTCAAAACAAAAATATGGTAAAAATGAAATGTGAAGGCTTATTTATGTTAATCGGAGCACAATTATGTGGAATTATAATTCTCAAGGTCGACAAGTTCACAAACCAGCGCACACTGCACATTGACTTAATACAGTTAAAAAAAAAAACATGCGGCGCGTGTTCACCGCACGTTTTCTGGTTTAATAGAGCTCGATGAAGTTTCCGGGTCCACCTCGAAAACCTTGAAATAGCGAGCATCGTACGACAATAAGATTTTTTTATCTAATCAGTCCAACTCAACGTGCGACACGAGTGTTTAAAAAAATGTCAACGTTTGGAAGAAATGAGCAATTTTAAAATTTACCTTTTTCGTAGTCGTCCGTGCTCAGGGGACGCACGAGAAGGCCAGGGCCAGGGTTGGCGGCGCTGATTTTTGGCTCGAATCTGGTTCGCGCTTTACTGAAGTCCAGTTTCTTGAGGAGCGACGCGTCATACAAAAGTTCTGCTTCCTCGCCATTTGATCGCATCTGAAAGTTATAATTCTAAACTGATTGTGAGGAAAGAGATTTTTCAAATGTAATATGAGCTGAAAATTATAAATCTACCTCTTGAGTTCTCTTAAGTCTGGTGCCAGACAGGAGAGTGGAATTGTGTAAATTAGTTTTTATCTTGAATGACGTTAGTTAAAAGAATTAAAAAAAAATAATTTTTATGATGTCAAACTTTTATGAAGGGCATTTTACAGCTTTGATAAACCCTTTAGCTGAATAAACATGAACAAGTTCAAACAAGTTGAATAATAATTTGAAATTAATATTATGAAAGAATTTTTTAGCTAATTAAAATAAAAATTATAATAAATATAATATCAATCAAATTAATTTGAAAATGAGCATTTTTTTTAAAGAATACAAAAAGTTTCTTCAAGAAAGACTAGTTAATTAAATATTTCAAAATGTAAACGTAGAAAAATGGCATAAATTAAATGGTGATGGTGATCATTTATTCATTCAATATTATTTTGCAACAACATGAAATAAAATAAATGTTGAAAATGTAAATAAAAGTATAATTATATGTATAGCATTTTGAAATTTCACTACTGGCAACACGAAAACAAATAAACAACTTTTAATTAAAATTAATTGCTTGAAATGAAAGTTGTCATGTCAACATATGGTGGCAGCAAAATATTTTTGTATGTAGTGGACATTTAAAGATAGAAGTCCGTGTTGTCAATTCAAGGTATGAAATAAAATAATTATGCTGCATCACCTAACTTGATCAAATTTGAAATCAGTGCTTTTTTCTAAAAATTAATAAACAAAAACTAAGTAATTTTCGTACCAAATCACCGTGCGGACTCATTTTGTGCTCCTATAGCTAGATCACTTCTCTACGGTCAAGACACTTCCGTATTCTACCTTCGACTGCCCTGGAAGGTATGCATGCACCGCAAGAAGAGCAAAAGAGGCTCGCCCGCTGCCGTATATAAATTACTTTCACTCCACGCAGCAGCGTGCCCTTGAAAATCTTTTTGTCTTTTTGACGTGAAGGAAATAAACGCACCTTTGCAACGGAGACCGCTCCGTTTGTGTAATTTGCGCTCACTCGCGACTTCGGCGGATGGGAAAGACACGCAGCTTCATCGTGCAGAAAGAAAATCCTTAGCAGATGCTGCGAAAAACGTTGCACTTGCAAATTTCTCGTTGCACTTCTCGCAAAAATATGCACACGAAACTTTAAAAAGACCGCGCCCCTATTTCAGCTGTGATATGCGAGGGTGCAAATTGAGGAGCTTAATATATTGGCATAAAAGTTAAGATAAAACTATATTTTACTGATATTTTAACAAATCAAAAGCAGTTAAAAAGTATTATACATAGTAATTTGAATATTTTTGTCTATAAAAATCTAGTTGCAGGGCTTTTTTATTACAAAAATTTCTTTAATTCATCGAACTCCTCTACTTATTCACTACTTTGAGAGGGGTGTGGTTTGCGAATCTATTTTCAATCGAGGCCTGTCCATAACATTGGCACCGTCTGTGCGTTATATTTTGCTTTGGTTCGCCAAGAGTGGTCGAAGGCCGTGCGTGAGATGTGACAGAAGTGTCCGTCCGAGCGATGACTTGCTACGCACCCATGTCCAGGTCGCTGTTGCGCCTGGACAAGTATTTCCACCTGAACAAGAAATTCGTCGAGCGGCTGCTGCTGGGGCCCAAGTCGAGCGCCCGGCATGCCTTCCTCCTGTGCAACCAGGCATCCTTGATCGCCTCCCGTCGTCTGCACTCGGTGCAACTCCTGGCCAGCGCTCATCATGACTTGCTCGAGCGAAGGTCGCTTTTCGACCCTGAACCTTTGGCCCGTCAACGGAGGCTCTACTCGAGCAACGAGTCGGATAAGAAGGGGCTGCACATGGGACGAGTGCACAAGGACAACCTGATCAAGGACGTCATCCAAATGAAGAAAGATCAGTTCTTAGAGAGGGAAAAAAGGCTTCGGGCGACAGGACAGAATATTCTGAACGACATTCGCGAGACGAAGGACAAAATGAGGGAGAGGATGGAAGTTGTGATTGAGGTTAATTTGATTATATTTTATTTTTTGTTACGCTCAAAACTAATTTTTCCATAATTATTCAACAGAGGGAGAATATCTGGACGATTCCTAACATCCTCTGCGTGTCGAGAATTGTGGCTTCACCTTATTTAGGCTACCTTATAATTCAGGGTGATTTTCCTTTTGCGTTGGGAATTTTTACTGTAGCCGGAATCACAGATATGGTAATTACATAATTTTATTTTATTAATGCAATAAATAATATAATTTAATTATCATTCTTAGCTTGATGGGTGGATTGCAAGAAATTTCAACCAGTCGTCAAAATTGGGCAGCTTCCTTGATCCCTTAGCTGATAAAATTATGATCAGTGTACTGTTTGCTACTCTATCATATGCAGGACACATCCCTTGTAAGTTTATAATTATTTAAAAAAAATGGCTTCTCCTTATTGTAGAATTTTTCTATAACAGTTTATGTAATTGAGAAAAATATTCAGAATTAACTTATTTCTTATAAATTAAATTGGACCCAAAATAATAAAAATCGTTTAATTTATCATTATTATTCAAAGCCTGTATTTAGTTTTAAATCTTATCAACCTCTTCTTAAGTGGTAAATTTATAAATAAAATTCTAAATTTTCTTTCAGTGGCTCTTACGGTACTGATCATAGGACGGGATGCCTTGTTGGTCCTCGCCGGTTTTGTAATCAGATACAAATCACTGCCTCCTCCTGTGAGTAAAAACTTGCATTCGAAATCAATTGAAACTTTATTTATCTTTTTCACAGAGGACGTTGAGTCGATATTTTGATGCCAGTTTAGTCACGGCACAGCTGCAACCGACTTTGGTCAGCAAAATCAACACAGTCGTCCAGCTTATGTTCGTGGCTTCTGTTCTGGTCGCGCCTGTCATTTCGTACCCTTCACAAGACGCACTGACCACTTTTGGGTAAATTGATAATTAATTAAATTATTTTGATTTTAACTAAATATCTCAAATTTAGGTACATTACGGCTGCAACGACTATTGCCTCGGCGCTCAGCTACATTATTGAGAGAAACACTTTTAAAATAATCAGCAAGCGTTAGACGAAAGTGATAAAGATTTTAGACTTGATTTGCAAAACTTATGGCATGCAATGCTGATGTTTTTTGGCACCTGTTGTAAAGATGGTGCATTGTAAATTATTTTGTAAAATAAAGGTCACTGCAACGGAATTTAATTAATTTCAACAGTTTATTAGTTTCCAACAATGTAATTATCGTGTTTGTAAGTCTCGTAAGCAAACTCTTCTGTGTGTTCTGGATCAAACTCTAAGCCGATGTAATCTATTTCTAAACTGAAGTCTCCATTTGCTGTATCGGTGGCCGTGATTCCAAAATGCGACACCATTTCTAAATTTATAGGTCTTTGCTTGTCCTGGATTCGTCCTTTGCTGGTGAAGAAGAATTTCGAAAATGGGATCTGGTAGAAAAATTATGAGCCTTAGATTTAAATTTAAATAATAAAATTTTGTTTACTTTGGTTAATTGCCAATAAGGACCTCCTCGGGTGTAAAGAACAAATGTAAAAACGTCATTCCACATAAGATCATAGTATCCAGCGTTTCCGATGTTCAATTGGTAGCTTCGACCGTCTCCTCGCACCCTGATCACCAATGTGTTATACATCGACCAATTTAAGTAGCTGTCTCTTTTGAATGATTTCTGTCGAAATAGAAATTAAGTAACAGGCAAAATTATAATTATAATATTTCTACTCTGGCTCTGTAGGATCTCATTGAACAGTAGCCGGATGATTGAACGATTCCATCCTTAGGGACTGTTGCGTCGATGTACCCAGTGAACAAGCCTTTGCCAGCCGGACTCATTTTCAGCTCGCAGGTGCTGTAGCCATGGTTGTGGTCTTTATCCGACGCGAGTTGAAATTTCTTAAGAGTTTCTGGGTCTTTGAAATCCCACAGGCAATCCACCTCACCTTCAAATCACCATTTATGTATGTGATTTTTATTTTTCAATTTTTATAAACCTTTTCGAGCGAAGGCCAACGGATCCATGGACAGTTTTTCCTTAACTTCGTCCTTCCACAACATGATTTCAGTTTTGAGCTGTTTGAAGCCGTCCCGGATCATTTCAGTGCGACTCGGGAACTTTAAATCTCCGTCTTTTCTGAATCCTCCTTTGTCGTCTTTCTCGTAAATGGCCCGACTGACCGACGATGAGTGAAATGTGCATCTTTGGCTTCTCAAAAGTGTGTGAGCACATCTTGTAATGAGCCGACTACTGACGGCCAGCGATTCAAACATGTTAAATAAAAGGAGCTCTGAAAGAAAGAGAAACAAATTAGCAAGAGTTGAAAAAATATCATAAGATTTTCAAGTTTAAAATTTTTGTAAATATTTTGCAACACATACATACGTATCACAGGAGTTTCAGAAAACTTTTACGAATTCGACATGTCTCTTGCATAAATGATGTAAATGATAAATGATTAATGACGATAAGTCGCTATTATATCTAACTCAAATTATGTTTGTTAACATAAAACCACTAAAACCAGTCCAATGTTGACAATAAATTTCAAGAGGTGGGCGTGCCCATCTTAAGCCGGTTGCAAGTTTAAATTCTACCCGCTAGATGTCTTATGAAACCATTTATAATATGATTTTTTTTATAATAATATAATTAATTTCTTCAACTGTAATTTTGTATTTACTTCTCTTTTTGAGCATAAAGTTGGGTAGTATTATAAAGTAAAATAATTTTTTAATCGAAATTATCAAAATGGTAAACAGACGGGAAGTAAAACTATTAAATGTAATTGTTGAGTAAAATTTCTTTTATTTTTGCTCTTTTTTGCTTAAAATATTTCCCAGCACACAAATGACATACTAGCTGTATAAGTGGTAAACATTTTTAATCATAGCAAAATTGACACTGTATTTTTTTACATTTTTATGATTAGATGACTGTGAAGAGAAATTGAAGTAAGTGCCTGATTTTATAATTTAGTGAAAAATTATAATTAACTCTCTGCATGTCAAATCTTTGAATAATTAATCTGCAGAGAGCAGAGAGACATTAATATTCAAATCTTTTTTTTATTGATTGTGATTGTTTATATGAATCTCTATTGTATAATTTATAAGTTGTTTTAATGTCTTTATAAATTTTGAATATTATTATTTATTACAAATTTTTGTTGGTACCATATTATTATTATCTTGTTACGAATCATAAAATGAGATAGTGGAAAATTGCGAAAATTGCATGCTTAACCCTAAACAACTGTATAAAAGCTGCTGAGCGGTGAGCACTAAAATTCACATCAAAAGCATGAATATTACTTTTTATATTTTAATTGCCTAATGAAATTGAAAATGGAACTGTATTTGTTCCTGTATTTTATTACAATTTCTTTTTAAATGTCCTATATTCTAATATGTTTGTAATCATAAAATTGGTGATATTTTTATGGTGATGTCAATTTTTTCAATTTATAAGAGTTGCAAACGATAACAATGGTATGAATACAAATAATTAATTCATAAAAAAAAATTAAAAGTAAAAAATGAAAAAATTTACATAATATTATGTTTTAAGTGTGACCGAAAATTGGTCACAAATTAAAGAAGGTCAGTCAAACTGTCACAACGGCTGCCTGACAATTAAATGCAATTTTAATTTGCTATTATTCAAGCAACAGAGCAAACCCATCAAAGAGTTATTACCCTACGTAGAACACTGTTTAGTGAGATTAAGAGCAGTAAACTGTATTTATGTACACCACTATCATTGTGCGCCACAAACCACTTTAATGCAAATTTTGCGGCGGATCCGCTTCTTCGTCTTTTCGCTGCCTTGCTTTGCGCTTCTCTGCGATAACAGGCACACCGCATTACATTAGACACTCCATTTTGCACAATTAATTATTGCAAGACAAGGGAGTGCACTTTGCGGAGTGCACATCAACATGGATGGGAAACTTTGTCCAAATCTCGCTATTACACAAACAGCAAAGAACGAGACAGCCGTTAAATTCGTTGTTATAAATATATACACGTCAAGCATTAAAATTCAAAATATTTGATGGAAAATAAAAGTTGAGAAATAAACAGAGGTAAAATGACTGGTCGTTTAATAGTATTAATCTAAAGACTTTGGAAAGAAAACAATTCTGGGTTTTTAAATTGAACACGCGGATATATTCCATCTGAAAATATTTAAAGTTATGCTACTTGTACGTCAGTAGTGTCAAGCGGGTTGCATTCGTCTTCAATGCAGATGTTAATTAACAAAAATTTTGAACACATTTTGAACTAATGGCAAGAAGGATGTAAAATTGAAAAAAAAAGAAGTTGCTTGAACATTGCAAACTAAATTTGGTTAAAGCAATTTTAAATTAATCGACAAAAACGGCATTTATTATTTCCAGATTTTTTTTCTAATTAGTATAAGACAATGATGATGACCAACGTCAAAATTGTGATAAGAAGTTCGGAATTTTAAGCGTAGAACTGTGTTTGTTTTTTTTTCTAAATTCGTTTTAACATGAGATCAGGGTCAAAACAAATGTACAGTAATAGTGTAATTATTGCTTTATGAGGACAAAAAAGAGGACAAATGCTACTCCTTGGCTGGAAAACGTGAACCTTTGTTAAAATCTTTGGGTTTGAACATTTTTGATCACAATTTTGACATCGGTCATATAATTTTGTCAACTTTCAGAAATAAAATTAAAAAATCAACTGGAGTTGGTCATCAATGGTTGATTTGATTTTTTCACATTTTTTTTTACACTACCAATAATTCCAGTCACAAAAATCTCAACGTACTTCTTGCATACACACAAAACTTAGCCCTCAGCGATCAATTGAATATCTCTCTCGACGGCCACTCCATTTACTTAAGTGAGAGCAATCAACTTTTTGATTGGTTCGCTGCTACATTAGTAATTGAGCTTTTTAATCACAACCATAGCGGTTTTTAGTAGTTTTTCAAAAGGAGAGTGTTTAGCATTTTTAATATAGTTACTTGGCTTGATTTAGTTGGTAAAAGTGTTTTTCACAATTTAAAGCTTTCAGTCTGTCTGTGTCCCTCACACGTGCAGCAAAACGCAGTCAGGTGGTGTGTTGGGGGTGAGTTCGTCCGTCTCCGAGGACGGGTGCCGCGGCGGCATCCCGAGTGGCGGTGGCGGGATTATGGGAGGCCCCGGCGGGCCAGGCAGGAAAAGCCGCCTGGCCAGACGCCGCCGCTACGCCCGCGGCACGAACCGACGGTGCTCCGGCTCCGGTGACCAGCAGTTGTCGCTCAGCCAACACCCTATCACCACGGTCACAAAGCCGATCAAAAGGGCCAGCACGATGTACACCTCAGCATTACCTGGAACAAAATTTAAAAAATGATTTTTACTTTATGCTGATGGAACAAATAATGACACCAAAAAATATAAAGCAAAATTACACTCTCCCATGTCTTGAAATTTTGTGTATTTTTTATGGTTCACTTGACTCAACAGTCCAAATTTACTAAAAAAGGTTTGTTTTTTATATAAAATCAAAATAATTTTGTTTTGCATAAAATTGAAAAAAAAAAAACAGTAAACTATAACTTTATAGTTGTGTACATTAATATTAATGTAACCTAATAAAATTATGAACTGTTTATTATAAAAGCTGAAATATTTCTCATTGCTATATGTGGCATGTTTTCTTAAAAATATAATAACACGCGTTCCTTTTTAAACAAGCTTTTCTAAAAGTTTTTGTATTTAAAATTAGAATATATTTGAAATACATTCTTAATTTTTAATCGCCAATCCTTTCATGCATAGAGTGTAAGGGAGAATAATTATTATTTAAAGAATCCAACCTCTATTTAAAATTTTTATTCTTAATTATTCTTATTGTAATAATAATTTACATTTAATCACCTTTTTCTTGTTTTCAAAACTTAAAAGCTGATATGTTTTATGTTGTATGTATACGATTGTTGATTTTGAATTATTGATCACTTTGCTTAAAGTTAGTTACTGCGTCCTTAAGAATAAGGAAAACCGGCTCCACATTTCAAATTTGGAAATCCCTTGGCATTTTATTTATTATTAAACTTTAAAGTTTAGATAAGGTCAAAGTTTATGTGAGAAATTGCAAGCTACAAAATAAAAACAAAGAATGATCTTATCAATAATTAGTAAATAAAGTAAATTGCAATTTTTATACAGAGAAAATGATTTTAAGTTAAGATCATAATTATAGCAATTTAATTAACTGTTAAAAATAAATTTTTCATAAAAACAAGACTACTTCTAATGTGTATTTTCCTACAAAAGAAGTTTCAAACAAATATAAATAAGATCAAAACACCAGATAGGTTTGGTATTTTCTAATTTAATTATATTTCCTCTATATCAGCTTTAAGAGTTATTTTTATCAATCACGTTTTCAAAATATTTACTTTTTATGGCTGAAATTTTTTCGTTTATAAAAAAGTTACTTACATTGACAAAAAAAATTTGATTAAACAACATAATTTTTTTTAAAGAAATGTAAACATGTTAAATAAAATTAATTATTTATACCTTATTTACACCTTTCACATAATCATACAATTCTCTTAAACTACGAAAAAATATTTTAGCTGAAAATAAGTTTGAAGGTATTAATAATTTTCATTTCGCAGAAAAACTTTGAGCTTTGAACTTTTCTGAAGTGTAATCATCAATGAATAGGAGAAAACATAGCAACGCGCTCTCGGATCCCAGGAGAAATTTGGAAATAGACCGGCACTGATGTGAGGAAGGAAAAAGAGCGCGAGATCGGATTGCTAATGTTTGCTGAATAATCACACCCGACGGACCAAACTCTTTTTGCTGTTTCTAATCAAAAGGATAAAAACTCTGATTTCCCACCAAACAAAACTTTTTGCTGCGTCCATTCGAAATGCTTTTGATCAATATTTAATAAAATAAAACTCAAAAAGCGACAAAACTAAATCAATATTTCATCCTCACCACTGTGGTTAAAAAAGCGCGTGGTTTTGCAGCCGACGCAATAATGAAAAAGCTTACATTTAAATAACAATGGGCGCGTTTCAATTCAACCCGTCAAAAATTTAAAGCAAACTGCCTGCATGCCTAATCGAATCAAAACAGAGGCGCTCTTTAATTAATCACCACAGCAGCCAGACGAAAATCGCGAGCAAAGCGTCGCTGACGCTGCTGATGAGGCAAAATTTTCAGCCGCTCATTTTTCACCACAAATCCAGACAAATCACAGGCACTTGCGTGAAAAGCGCAAAAAGTAGTGCGTCGACCGCTTTGAGGAGATGAATTATTCATTGCGGTGCTTTTTGCACCAACGTTTCGAGTAAAAACGCTCACTTTGCGTATCACCTGCTGCGGTACCTTCTTTTCCAACGGCCAGACAAGAGAGCCAAAGTGTGTTGGTCGCGTTCTCTCCACTGGGTCGTTTTATTTACGGCTGTTTCTCCGGTGACAAGTTTTACTGCCAGCCCCAATCCGCCGATACAATTGCATTGAAAGGGAAAAAGCGACCGCACTGCACGTTTGGATCTTTATTGGTGAGAAACAAATTAGGTTGCCGCACGAGAAAACAAACAAACACAAGCGTGTTTGCCATACAAAAATCCGATTCCGAATAATATTTTTCGTTTGTTACGGTTCTTTGATTTGTGGATCTAATTGTAACGCGTCAATGCGTTGACTTTCGAGAGCGCCATGTTAAATTAACGACCAAGCTCAAATGGGAAACCCTAATAGATCAGAAATTCATTTATCGGAAATTGCTTTCCACTCATCAGAGCAGCAACGTTCGTTTATCCAAAAATTAGTTTATGGTAACTGGGTTTGCTGCTTTCAAACAGCAACTCACCAATTTTTGATAAACAAAAACCTCATAATAATAACCATCACCACTCAGAAGTGGAATTTAATGATCAACATGTTCAGCCTGCATTGGCATTTTCCAGAAAAATTGTTAATAAAAAAAGTTTAAAGAAGGTAAATAAATATCTAAAAATTGTATTCTGAAAAACGGCAAAGTTATCTTTTATGTCTAGAACTATCAAAATTCAGCCCAGGACCAGTTAAAGTCAAGTTTTTCTAAACAATCAATTATATACTCAAAAACGAAGCATTTAAAATAAATCTTATTATTAACCCCAGCTTTGAAAATAAATTTTGAAACTGGTATAGCAACAAAAATTTTGGGTTAATTCATGGTAAATTATTTGTAAACTGTGAACAGTCAACTCAAGGATTGATCATTATGGTCTGGATCTGGTCTGGATGAAAATTGTAAAAAATAAAAAATTAAAATATTGATAAAAAATATATGCCGAAAAAATAAAACAAAATTTCTGATTAATTTCAGATCAATAATGGCAACCCGTTTAAATTAGCAGCGGCACCATGGTGCCGAGCAGAGATTTACGAGTTCTGTTTTGTTCAATTTATCACACGCACATACTTTTGCTCTGGGACAAAATCAGCTGAATAATTTGCAAGTTTGCATTAATCTTCATTTCAACGAAAAGTGAAAACAGAGGATGTGAAAAACATTCATTTTTGTGTAGGCAGGCAGTTGATAAACGATTAGCAAGCTTGGTTGTCAACATTTCAAAGGACCCTCGAAGTTTTCAACGGCTTCTAAAAACCAATAAAGGAGTTTACAACTTTCTGTACCTAAGAGGATAAGTAATGAACAATGAGGGACTTTACCCTTAATCCATGACTACAAGAGCAAAACTAATAAAGTTCCGCAACTCATTCTGCAACTGGTTCAATGACATGACAACCATGTAAATACTGTATTAATTCCAATTTTATAAACCCCTTTCTTAAATAAGAATGACTGCACCGCTTCACAATAATTGCAACCTCTTAATTTATATTTATTATACATTTACAGCATAAAAGCACGAAGTCAAACATGAAAATAATATTTAAAGCTTATAAAATCAATTAACTCTATGATTTATTTCATATATTCAATACACTGTTGGAAATTAAACCCAGCCTATTAAAAAATTTTAATGCAAAATGTAATAATGATTATTTATTTAATTAAATATGATTAAAAAATAATAAATTATACTATATATTTAAAAATAGTAAACAAATAATGTTTTATTTAAATAAAAAGATTTTAAAGATATTCCTTTATTCTTCCTCTTTCCTCGCAATTTTTCTTCCAGGAGTTCCAGGTATTGAACTTTTTAAATCAACACAAAACACTTTACTAAATAAATGTGCAATATAAAATTCGAAATTGAGCGGTTTCCATTTGGACGTTTGTGCGACACTCATTTTCTATTTAAACAAACATCCCTCAACAATCTGCCAAACGCAGCCAGCAGCTCTCTTTTGTGTTATGTGTACGGCGCGTTAGTGGGTGATTGATACCCATTCAAAAGCAAACAGACTGTTGTTTGATTGAACGAGAGTTCACTCGAAAAACACACTGGAGAGTAGAGCTTGCAAGTTAGAACGTCCATTCAGCGTTCACACTAAATCACAAAACTAAACTGAACGATTTGATTGAAGAATAAATTGCTCTATTGAAATACTAGATGGCTATATCGTCAGCACTTACCTTTTTTGCTATCGAGGAATCAATAAATTCGAGAAAACTATTAAAATAGGTTTTTTTTTAAATTTGTAACCAAAACTTTTCCTTGTGTGCGAAAAACCAATTTTCTAATATTTTCTCAAGTTACAAAATACAGTTAAAGCTATCATTTTTTCGAAAATTTAGAGCGTTAATCGTGTTTTCTCTGTTGTTCTGATTTTCTATGCCCAGAGCCTCTAAAACTGATCTTCGTCACTGGAAAAGTTGCAAAATTACTTAGTTCCATTTTTTACTTTCCTTTTTTATTGGAGAGAGTTTTCCCGCATCACATAATATGTGTGACAAAATTGAATTGTGTGTTTGCGTGTATGACGTTCTCATGACATTTTAACACAGGTCTCATTAAACATTCTCCTTTCGTCTGTTTCATATTACAGATGTGAGCTGTTTGTTTGCCTGTTTGAGTGAGTGCACAGGCCATTTGCACGTGCGGCTCAGTTGATTAGCTAATTATTTTTGGATGGGTAGGTGGTCACCCCTCAACGAACATAGCGTAACAGGTATTATGACATGGATAATGTGATTATTAATGCGTATTCCCGAGTGCTAAAGCATTTGAAGTACATTGTGACGTGATAATTTGGTTTATTTAATTCAAATTTTATCACATGAAATTGTTGATTAAAATTAAAACTTCATGCTTCAATGAATCTTTCAATTAATAGTCAATTTCGTCTACAATAGTAAAAAATGAAATTATTAAGTTCAATTGATGAACAGGTGTTATTTTTAATTCTTGAATGTGATTGAAAAAGAAATTATGTCACTGAAATAACTATTTCGATTGAAATATTTGAAATGTGACAAAATGAAATTTGAATTCATCAAAGATTTGTTTACCTTTCGTGCCAAAAGCGTTTGAACCTTCAGAATAATGAATATAATGTTGGTTACAAAGTCTTGAAATAATTTATTGCATGTTTAAATTTACAATTAGTGAGTTTTTTACTAAAAAACCAATGGTTTGAAATGTTTTAGCAGTAAATGTGAACCTCCGTTTCAACCCTTAATCAATTGCAATTTTTTCTTCATGATCACCTAATTTTTTTTTCAATTCCAAGAAAGTTCATGTATAATTTTTTACGTTGAACTAAATAAAATAAAAATAAACATCAAAAAACGAAGCAAATATACAGTGCCCTTTTTATTGATTGAATTTATTTGCTTATCTCAATGTAAATCAACCTTTTTTTTTGTTAAAAAAAGTTTAGATGTCAAGAAGGAAGATTGAAGAGACAGAAGATTGAATCAATCAGAAGAAAAGAAACTCACCTAGGGGCGTTCTGCTCTTCCAAAGGTTGTGCACAAGCGAGGGATCGCCTCGGCGCCACTCCCGAAAGCCGCCTCTGCTCCGTCTGACGACCTGCCCACCCCCAGGGGGCTGCTGCTGCACTCCCGGCAAGGCAGGTGGTGCTCCTTGGGTGGCCCCTGAAGAGCCCTGCTGCGCCGGGTACTGCTGCTGCTGGTTTTGGCACAGAAATCCTGCGAAAAGTCCATACAAAATTTTCACAAAACTTGCTTGATTATAATTTGCGGTTTTCTATAGGTCATTAGACGCGAAGGAAAGTTGTCTTCGTTAGTTGGCCTTTTGTGGAAAGAAGACAAAATTCATAATTTCCACAATCATACATTCATTTAATGTCAAATAAAAGCATTTGACACTGGTCGTTCCGGAGAGTTGAAATGAAAATTTTCTGGATTAAAGGACTTTTGGCTCTTTATTTAAATTTAAATTACTGTTCTTAATCCAATATCAAAGATAGTGATTAAATTAAATCGAGTTATAAAGAATTTAACTGTTTCAAATTTTTGTGTGACAAAATTGTCATTTTTAAGCAAACAATTTCAAAGAAATAGTTGGTATATTTAGGTAAATTCTATTAAATTGAAATAAAATTTCATTTCACCACATATTACTTTCTTTCTAGAATTTAAATTGGAAATGTTATACAAATTTTCATTCAATAGTAAGTATTTTGTCTGTTAAAAAAACTGTTTATATTGGAAGTTATCATGTTATTTAAAAAAAATACTTGAAAAAATAAATATCATGTTGATTAAAATTAGCCTTTGGAAGAGACAGAAGGGAATTTTATTTGGGCGGAATATAATGATACGAATCAATGGTGAGCATCATTTGCTTCAACTGACGCAGTGTTGCGGCCAAAGGCGCGTTTCCCACCGTTATTTACCACCAACGGCCGGACAATTAAGCTTTATTGAACATTTATTGAATGCGCGCCGGACGATCGCATGCGGGCAATTGGAAGAGCCGAAGAGATAAGCCACCGGCACAGCAGATTCGAATTTATCGCCGCAATGAATTTTGCACTGCCGGACAGGTGACCACCTTTTGCGCGCAATTTACAGCTCTTTCCGCTTTTCCTCCGCAGCGAGCGTGCGTTTTTTTTTAGCAACAGGATCTTACGAGAGTGTGCTGGAGCGCAATAAAAAATGAGAAATTGGCTACGGCTATAACGGGTTAAAAAGGGCGCAATTTTATTTACACACTAATGTTGCGTAAACGTTTGAGATTTGAGACATGAGTAAGGTATTCATTGTGAAAATAAGGAACAATAATGAACCAATTTTCTACACATTATAAATTTAAAATAAATATTTTCAGCATGAATAGTTTAAAAGTCTTTTATTTTCAAAAGTAAATAAAATAAGTAAGTAACTTAAAACATAAAAATAATTTAATATAACATGCAAAGTTATATTTAATAATATCATACAAAAAATAGTTAAAAATTAAATTTATATTCAAGTTACATTATAATAATGATTTATATTTTAAATTGTTTTAACTAGTGTTTAAACTTTTTTTAAATTTTTTAATGTAAATTAGCAGGATAAAATAAACATGAGCGATTACAAATTTAAATTCTGTGGTCTCTTCACACTTGTAAATTCTTGATTATGTTAATTAATCCTCTGGTGCAAATTTAGGCAATGAATTAACGTAAACTTTTGTAAATGCAATTTTAGTGATTAATGTATGTTTTTAGTTATTCATATTATATTTTGTGACTTAAATTTTCAGTAAAATTTATGAAATTTATTTAATAAATTTTCAAACTAAATAAATTTTCATTAAACCAAACCAAGTATATTTTATGGGTCACGGAAGAACGGAACTCGCAATCCTTAACACATCATAGGAGAGTCAAGAGACAAAATTCCGACACCAAATAATTAATGAATAATTAGAGACAATTTGTGGAAGGACGGGGGGTTGTAGGCAAGCAACTTAATAATGAAAGGCTGGAAGAACCAGGAGCGATAATTTTTGCGCACGGTGACCAAAACTTTCTTATCCTCGGTTATGATAATGAGGCCGACAGCAACTTTTTAATTACTGCTTCCTTCCATACGGAAATAATTAATGCTCTCGGCGGTTGCCGGCCGAAAAGCATGGGTTGGGGCAGCTTTATGCAAATGTGCACTCGCCATATCGAATATAACTCTCAGAGTTCTTTCTGTCCAACCGCAGTCGGAATTTTTAAAAGCAGCTGCGACAAAAAAAGGCTTTTACACAATGAACGACAACAACCGCGCCATGTTAATTTTAATGGAATCGCGGGCGTGCAAAATGAAAACATTTACGGTGCAAAGCAAACAAGCCTGTTTTTCGCACAATCGACTGCATGACTACCTTCCTGTTCGCATTCGTCACCAAACCACCCACGCGCGTTGTGTAAAAAACCCCTTTTTCGCTGCTGGCGTGTGTGCTAATTTAAAAAATTTGGCTGCTCGCTTGGCGCGCGCCGGTATTTTTAATGAATTTGTGATGGGAGTCTGCGAGGGCAATATGCAGGCCGGGCACGTAACGCCCTGGACCAACTTTTATGGACTCATCTGTGCAGCCTTGCCCGAGTTGCCAGTCTCGCCGTCTCACTTTCAACACTCGTGAAGTATGGCATTGTTCAAAAAGTTTGTACAAAACTTGCCGCACAAATTGCTGCGAAATTGCGCCACGATGTCTCCTTTTAGCGCCCCAACAATATCCAGGAAATTTTGATTTAAAACCTCCATTTACTTTAACGGTTTCAACAATTTCAATCTCAAAATTCCCGAAACATTGGGCTTGGTTAAAAAGTTACAAATTTTTCTATATTCAATTTTTTATTTTAGAAAATTAGGGTTGTGAATTTAAGTTTTTTGTGCCAAAATCATTTTAAACAATTATAGAAATTTAGCCGCTAAACTAGTAAAACAATTCAAAAATATCTAGTCAACTTTTCAAAGGGAATTTGAAAAATTCAAAGAAGAGGCGATTGAAAAACCTCTTTCTTGAAAGCTTTTTATACTAAACGCCTATGATGGAAAATGAATTTTCATCTTCAATAATTTGTACAATATACGAATATATACATGAATAATGTAACTTAAATTAATTTTCAATTAATTTCACACGTGACTGAAGAAACCGCAGAGTGCAAACCAATCTTTCATATTATTTTATTCCTCCCGAATAAAATTTCCATCTGTCTCTGCCAGAGGCCAATTTTAATTTCGACTGGAGCGGAAATGAAATTCCGCTGTTTGCTTTTGCCTGGAGTTGGAACCCTCGAGGCAAATATATTTTTCATTCGGGAGAAAAAGCCAAAGATGAAGTGGGCCTTGCGTACCGTATAAATTTCGAGCGGGACGAGTCGTTTGACAAATTGCTGGGCTCTGGAGAGCGTGTATGTAAGAGAGACAAACACTTGCACGCCATAAATATGGAATGTGCACTCATGCACTTATTATACACTCAGCTCGAGAGCGCATTATTGTTTCATCAGTGTTTGGACCAAGCTTAAGTGTGTTCACATATTAAATGCAGCAGAGGTCATGTTTTATTCAAAGCCCGGCTATGCATGTGAGTCTGGAGTTTGCACAACGCTGGTTGTTATTACGCGGTTACTAACGAGCGTGTGTCAATTGCGCAAGCTGGCGCTCGCCGTCGCGCCAACACAATTTCGAGCTGTTGCCTAGGCAAATGAGAACGCTTCAAGCCTTTTCTGAATTTTAATGACGTAAAGCCTGAAGAAATAAAATAGGAATAAGATATAAGATAGGAATAATTTGATATAAATAACTGAAAAAATTACCTTTAGAAATAAAGCTTACTATAAATATCTTGCAAATATGAATCAATGGTCAGGCTTTTCTGATTGTCGAAGACGTCGAAATCAAAACAAAACGGTCTCATTGTATAGAAAAATACCTAAAAAAATACTCAATTTTCTGGTATGTTTTAAAGGAAAACATTTTGAAAATTATATTTAATCGAAACTATTAATTGTTACCTTTTCCGAGATTTTCAAAACGTTTTCTTTTGAAATCTAGAAAATCTTTGATTTTTTTTGCAACCGTTGAGGAAAAAAACTATATTGCCTTCCGCCAATGTTTAGTTTCAAACAGACTAAATCTAACAAAAACACCTTACAAAACAATTAATTTTTCATTAAAACATACTAAATAGGTGGCTTATTTTCTGGGAAAAGCAGATTAAATTTGAAATTTTATAAATCACACAAAAAGCATCGGGTTTCCTTGTCCTGATTTTCAATTTAAATGGCGGATTGAATTAGCCGGGACCACGTTAGGCTCTTGGATAGTCTCTTTATGAACTGAAAAATATTAAAATATTTAAATTATAACTTAAAAAAATTAATACAGAAATATTGCTTCAATAAAAAAAATATTGCTTTTACTTTTAGGAAATGCTTTTTTCCTGAATAATTATTTATTTTTTGAATTGGAATATGAATTAAAAAGTTAAAGAGTTAGCGATATTTTGTAACATCTAAAAATTTATCACTCTCAAAGAATGGATTTAATTTTAACTAGGAAATTCTTTAGAACCTATATAGAGTCAACTTACTCTTAGATAAAAATCTTAAGGATGGAAAATCTCTGCGATCATGATTAATGTTTACATAAAAATTTTAAACCCTTTATTTCAAATATTAAAATAAATAAATCATAGTATTTCTTTTTATTACAGCGACCTTTTTCACCTCAACAAGAAATTTATTATGAAAAATTGATAAGGCTTTTAAAGCACTAAATTTTAGAGCTAGTCCGTTGGTCAAATTGAAAATCTCATTGGGCACTGTTGACCGCCAGAAGGGATTTTTCCATCAAACGCCCATTACGGCCGTGCACGCAAAGCAATCCGGGCAGATGGCCGCTCGCAATCGCAATTTGGCCAACGACGGGCAGCTGCTAATCAGCAAACAAACCGCAGCAGGTCACACAACCTGCTGCGCGAACAACTTTGGCCCGGCTATCAGTCTTCATTAAGGTCACCGGGCGAGCTGTGAGTAGAATGAAAGCAGCGGCCTGGTGCGAATCTATTAAGCTGCCGCCTGCAAAGGTCAAGGTCAGTGGCCGTGCATGCGTGCGAGTTTTAAATTCGCTAGTAAATAATTGAGAGGCGTCGTTGCTGCTTCGACAAGGCGTTTCTTTGCAAACCGGATTAAAATTCATGGAACGATGAGAGCAACAGGGCCTCCTATGTATCCCCGCAGGTAGCAGGTGGTGTTGCGAATTCATGGCCGGCGAGCCGGCGCGCCGGGCGGCAATTTGTTTGATCAGCCCCGGAACCGAGCGGGGTATGCAACCGGTTGGGCGCGGCTGCTCAACCGGTTGCGTGCTTTGTTAATTACAGGCAGGCCTCTAGAGACGCTTTCACTTTTCCCCGAACACGTTAAACTGGTAAATGTTTTTAATCCTCATCAAAATTTTAAAATGATGTTTACAAACCCCAAATTAAAAACAAATTGAACGCAATTTCGTGTCTGAAACGTGTGGAAAAAGTCTTTTTATACCAAAATAGGGATTTTGATTCTAATTTCTAACCTAAAATTTGACGGTTTGTTAAAAATTTACTCAAATTTAACATTCTGAAAAGGAGCAATTTGAATCAACTGCGAAAAATTTCTATGACAGTGATAAAATAAACAATGAAACCAGAAAAAACTATTTTATAAAAAAGAATAAATTTTTTTCTTGTATCATCATCAAGAAGAATTATTTAAACAACGCAACCCAGTGGCTTTCTTCAATATCGCTCGTGTTTTTTGTGTTTTATTAAATTTGTGTATTTTTTTATAAAGCTTTTGCTTAAAAAAATAAAAATTATTTAAAAACTTTAACTTCTACTTTGATTCCAAACTCCCGTCTGACAGACAATATTTTGGACAAACAAGGTGACTTGTTCAGAGGTTGTTTTTGTTTTGAGGAAAGTACATATGCATTCAAGATTAGAGTATTTGTCTAGTCGTGCCACGGTAATTGTTGTTGGAAGGTCCAGACAAAAACTGTAGAGTTATTTCGCAAGCAGCCACGGAACGTGCCCGAGCGTACTTACCATTTAAAGAAAGCAGAACGAAAAGCAGCACTTGGCTCCACGAGCGGCGACAGACTTTCCAATGAAGCATTGTATCGCCGGCGAAAACTGTAAACAGAATAAATTATCAGCAAGTCTCTCTCACTCGGCGCTCGTCTGTTCACAACATTAATCTTTTGGCACTCCTCGGCACACGCACTCAAATGTGGGAATGAAAAGCATCCAAGTGAAACGGACGAAGAGCAAAAAGAGAGAAGATGAGAGAGCGAGAGTTGAAAGTGCTTCCCTCCAGCTTTTTGAACAGAGCACATAGAATTTGGTGCGTCGAGTGAAACCCACTCTTTGGTTAGGTTAATTATAAAAAGTTCCGTCAAAGAACCGCAAATATTTTTTCAACGATTCTTTCAGGTCACGCTCCAGGTTTTCAAAATTTAGCTTGGAGTAGCGTGTTTAAATTTGCAGAAAATTAACAACGTATGTAATATTAAAAACAAGTTAGAAATTCTCTTTTCACACAAGAAAAAAAATGATGGAATTTTACCGCCATGTTAAAAATGGAATTTGTTAGAATTTCGTTTGTTATCGTAGTTATTAAAATTCATAAGTTATGTTGTTTAAATTAGAATATTAAACTAGTTTAACTTATTTCTATTCGTTTCTCAACTATTTTGAATATTTATGAGTTACTTGGTGAAATAACTTACTGCTACTTTTATTTTAGACGAATAAACTATAGAAGAAAAATACTGATGGTGAGATTATTGGAAGAATTTTTGTAAAAACTTGATTCTCTGAAGAGTAAAAATATAAGGAAAATGATAAAAGTTATGTTTTTATAAATATTTTAATTAATAAAACGTAAGGAAAAAAATAAATCAATATAAAGGGATTGGTTTTGTTCAGCCGACTGGCAACTGCATATCCAAAGTTGTTCTGGCACAACCTGTATGATTCCAATAGGCACTCGACGATCAAACGTGCCATTGTGCTGGTGACCCTATCTGGCATAAAGCAGAGAGCTGCTTTTTCTCGATGCAATTTCCAGACAGCAGACTGAAGGGTTGCGACATAAAAGTGGCGAGAGGCGGGATTTATCGCGGAGGCCGCCGAAACGCATATCCGCAAAAGCATAACACGTGTTCGCGCATCGAGCGGCTGCTTTTTTTCTTTTTGAATACCAAATGCAGTCAGTGTATGTAAAGCTCTCTGGCGAGTGCGTGTGTTTCTATTTTCCAATATTTATTATACGTTCGCGACGACCGAGCGGGAGGAAGAAGAAGTATTGGTGATATTATTATTCTGCCTCCTTTTTACATTTTCCTTTAGCCCAGGCTGCTTTTGAACAAAAGCTCTCTGCCGCACCAGAAGAAAAAAGGCACTACATTTTCGCCCACTGTGCTTTTCATATTTTACTTAGGAGGAGCAGCATGTGCACGCTCGTCTCCTATTATTATTTCACGCGAGAGGCATTTCTCTGCGTTTCGCCGACGTCGGAATATAGATGACTATTTTGCCATTTCTGAAGTCTCGAACTCAAGAAATAAAAATGGAGAGTGATGATGATCTCTCGGAACTGGATTTTTAAGTATGATTAGCCAGAACGAGCCCCCAAAAAATTTTGTTTATTATTTTACTAGAGGCTACAAATACATTCATAATAAAAACTATTTATCAGTTGAATAAGTTCTCTCTTTGTGTAAAATAATAAGGTTTTAAATAAGAATATTAGTCTTTTTATCCAGCGAATAGATGGTTTTCAATTTTTTTCATAAAACGGTTGTTGTGATTAATTTTTTCTCTTCTTTTTGAAAGTAACAATCTTTTTAAAAGGTCCTGAAAAAAACGAAATCAAGGATTTTTGAAAGCTTAGACAATTGTCCACCTGTGCTTATACATGTACTAAATAAGTTTTTTTTTTAGTATTCAGTTGGTCGTTTTAGTAGCACTAGTGGACTAACGTTCTGCACTATAATAATATAACAAACATTAGCACTTTTTAAGAACCGTCTGTGGTACAATTGGATTTTTAATTATTTTATGGCAAATGGATGAGGGAACAAGAGTAAAAAATTAAGTTATATTATGTGTTAATCAGATATTGGAAAAAAATCGCAAAAAAAGTAAATAACTCTTTCAATCATATATGATATGATATAAACATTAAAAATTTATTTAAATTTGCTTAAAATATAAATATTTTATTTCAATTAGAAGAAATACTGACATCAGATATCTCAACATTGTGCAGATGTAGAAAAATATCAGACATTGGAATACATAATTTATTTTTCTTATATCCACTCAAAACAAAGTTGTGAGAAACTTTAAAGATTAACTTTAATTTTAAACTTATTGGAACACATTAAAGTTTATAAATGCTTTTCTTTTGTAAAATTATAAGGGGGAAAACTCAATTAACTGGTTTTTTTAGCAAAATTTATTATTGAAAGTTTATTAGCTTCCATACTCATGAGTTTCAAGAGCAGCTCTATATCATTTTTATGTCAATATGTATATTGAAACTCTCTCTCTCTCTCTCCCTTTTGAAATTGACGCTCGAGGCAAAGTCTGCAGAGAGTAATATTAACAGAAAGTTTCCCTGTTAGTATTTACAACTGCGAACTCCAATATTGAACGGCAACCGCCAAGTCACCGTATGTGTTTCGCAGAAACCGAACACGCAATTATTGAAAAATTTTCAAACTGCGAAGAAAAGTTTAACTTTTAACAAAAGGTGCCAAATTTTTTTTAATGTCACTAAAATAAAAATCCAAAGCATTCGGATGAAACAATAAAAGTGAATTGCCCAAGGGAGAATAAAACTCTGTTTTTGCAACGATGGCCCTTTATGCGCGCTAATCTAGCGAGAGTGCTCGAGAGTTATGTGTCGCGAAGAACGGCTTCCGCGACGGGAAATCTGGCTCGGAACACGCCCTCGCCTGGCTCATTTTATCAAACATTACATTTCCGAGTTCAGACTAGATTGAATTTTTTTTTCAACGTGTCATGAAAGCATTAGAGGAGATTATGTGCTTGAGAGAAATTGCCCCGACACATCAAAGTGAGCAGTCTGATGTTCATCTCCGTTTGTTTGTGCACTGCATGTGTCAAGCCAGGATAAATTTGGCCGTCGGGAACATCGCGAACAGCAAGACTGAACTTCCACTGACAAAGGTAGAAAAGCTCTCTTGTCCTTTAGCAAAGCAGACATCGGCTGGTCGTGCTGATCTGCGTTCTATAATTTGCTTGCAATTAGTTGTTTGTGTGACAAATATAGTAGCATGAATGAAAATATAAAATTCAATTATCTTTTGCAAACTTTTGAAATTAACTTCCCATTAAAAAAGGATACAATGACGATGCTTACTGAAGTTTTCAAGCTCATGACTATTCTTATTGTTTTATATTTCATACTAATAATATGCCTTTTAAAATTATGGTTCACCTTTATTTTGTGAAGATGCTATAACAAGGTCTCAAGCAAGAACTTCTGACTGTAGGACGATGAGATAAGACAAAAATGTAATATTAAAGTTCATTAAAATTAAAAAATTTAAAAAATTTCAATTATTAAATAAATAGCAAAATATGTATCTCTATAAAAATAAAAATAAATTTATATATTTAATTTACAATTTTTTTTATTACGCATTCAAAATAATGCTACAAAAATGTAAGGTGCCGCTAAAAAATTATGGAACTGAAAAAAAAATGGTTTTTAATTACTAGAAATCAGTCATTAGGTTATTCAAATTGTGCTAAATAATCTAATAATTTCAGATAATCATAAAATAGTAACATACAATTTAGATTGCTGTTTATATTTGAAACAAATATATACTTAATAAAATATGCATATTTTGTACAGCGGAATTTACAATCTTCGTCGCTACAATTGCCAGCAAAAAATATTATTTTTATTTCAATTTAAATAGACAATTCGTTAGAATCAAAAGTCCAGCGACGAGAGCATTAAAGGTGGTGTGACGCACGTTTTAAAAAATCAGTTCATCAAAAGTGCCAAAATCTCGTCATGTGTCAAAAATGGTGGTACCATGTGCGTATGCTTCCTGTTTCAGTTTTCCGGTTTTCCGCTCCTTCTCTTTGACGAAAATATTAAATGACCATTATTTCGCGTAAGCGGCTGTAGTTCTGTTGCAATCGATGATAATTTGATAATGACACTTTTGCAAAAAGTATTGTCGTTCACCTTCGCTATGCTTGTATTGACCGTAAGTAAAGGAAGTTTTACCTTTTTTTTATTCAATCGCTTTACGTAATAGATCCATTTAAAAAGCACTGAGTCTGCAAAAGGTGAAATCCAAACTTTTTCCTTTAAAGAAAGCAAATGAGTTTCTAATAAAAATTAAAAAACAATAGCACGAAGATATTATATCATTAAATGCTGTGGGAAAGCAACTTGCCAGGCAAAATCTTTTAATTCAAGTGTCACGAGGAGGAACCAAAATAACATTAAAGTATGTCAAATTTGTTAAGTTACTATAAAAATAATCAATTTAAATATTTAAAAGACAGTTTCCAACTTTTCACCTCCGTCTACTGGTCCAATAAATTCGGAATCACTTGGTCACGTGGAGGAAGTTACAACTGCTGAAAATGTTATTTCCGATGCGTCACAGTTTTCAGGTTTTTAGGTCTTATTTTAAACCAACTCTCCCAAACCTCGAGAAATTAAATTCTGTTAAATTAGTATTTAATGCACATTAATTATAATTAATTTTGATTTCTTACATTGAAAGCCCAAATCATGTGAAAAAACTGAATTTTTTTAATAATGAATTATTTACAAAATAATTTTTAGGACCAGGATCAAGTAGTGAGCCCAGTTTTACAGACAGTTCATTGAACCCAGTTGGAAATCAAGAAGCAGCGCAAAGCCTAACAGATCCGACCTCATTAACTGTAAAATTGCTAAAAAACAAGAGAAAATCAAGAATTTAAATTTGCTTCCAGAACGAGGTGCAGAGTATTTCATCCCAAGCAATAAATCCTATGACAGACTCTAACCCTGTCGCCTCTAACCCTACCGTCGAAACATCATCGAGAATCGAAAATATTCCTTCCGAAACTCCAATTGCGCAGCAAGA